TAAGTATACTAGCAAACCCGACGAACTCCGTTTCGCCACCAGATGGTTTCGTGAGAAAGATGAAGAAATTTTTTTGTTTGTTTTATATTTGAAAAGGAAAGATTTGATTAGGAAGGAAAACCCGACTTTTTATTATATATATAGAAGATAATCTATTTGCAATTATTTAAAACAATTATTGATTATTTTTATTACTCGAATTTTTAATTACGGTGCGTGAAGTTCCAGCAATTTGTATTAGGGCACGATGCACCACTAATTTTCTTAGCTATAAACCTTGCGGAGCCCGAGACCTTTCCAACGAATGCAAAATTGTCGAAATCGGTTCTGGAGTTATTTCGTCAGGAAGGAAAACCCGACTTATTTTTATATATATAGAGGATTAATTGATGTGTATTATTAAACGTGGACTAATAATTACATGTTTTGTCATACTTTACTGAAATTTTTAAATTGATGAAAAATAGCTGACTATGCTGATAAATAAATGTTATAATATAAAATGAAATAGATATAAATGTATATAAAAATTATTTCATAATCTTTTATCCTAACTGAGATGTGAAAATGTTATGTGAAAAAACTAAGATTGTAAAATATCTAATAAATGTTGAAGAGACATTATTGATGTTTTACTGTATGACATCATATAACAATTTAATGTGAGTAAGTAACAAGACCAAAAGTATCAAGAATTTTAGGACATCGATCACCATGTCGCCATCCCTAAACAGGACGCGTGCAATGCGTAAGTGTGCGTGGAGTACGCAGACTGTCTCCTCTAAAAATATCACCGTCTTGTAGATGGTCTGAGACGCATCTCTCGCCGCTTCAACGGAATGCACTAAGACGACTTTGCATTCCAAGTACACCGAGCTAAATAGCAGACGGATTTGAGAATGCGAATAGGCCTTTTGCAAATGTCAACAGATCAAATAATCGTCAATCGTTTTAGACATGATAGTTTGTTAAAATGGCGTTAAGTATGGATTTGATAACTTTTAATGTGAAAATAAAAAGAATAATTGGCTCACTAACGGTGCAGCCACGAACTAAACATGAACATAAGACGATCTAGATATTAACATGGATTCTTGCTTCTTCGTTACATTATGTAAATTAAATTTTTATCAGACTGGTCATTACCAAAAATCTAGCTACAATCGAAGTGCATCAGCTGGATGTGCCTTTTTTCATTAATATAGCAAGTAATATAAACAACGAAATATTTGAAATTTGCACCGATTTCTTTGTCACAACAATGAATTGATTGGTAATATATAATGAATATGCTAAGTACATCGACGTTTTTATTGAATAAATTACATACTTAAAAGTTTTGTGAAGACATCATTTTCGTACGGTAGTGACAATTGTCATAATAGCTAAGCTATACTGACTTTGAGATATGGTCCAAACGAGGAAAGATGAAGTATGTTTGTTCGAACATGTTTCCATTATTGCATTAAGTCAACGCCCTACATTAACATGTAGACTGCATTGCTTTTAAAGACTCAAAAGTAAGTTTTCATGTTCGATTTCTTTTAATAATAACTGTTACTTGCATATAGGGAATACAATACCGATGGAAAATTTCAATACCGGTATTTCGGTAATTTTTCATTTTAAAACCAGAATATCGGTAAATTACCGGTATTTTTATTATCTTAAACAAACGTAAACAAAATTGAAAGTTTCCCGTACAAATAAAAAAATGTCTATATAGCTACAACTATATTCAACTAAACGATAAAATAAAACAATAAGTTTATTTTTTTAAATAATAATTCAACAAAAGTATATATAATTTAATTAATTCATTATCACTATCGAGTATATTGAGTACTTTTCACGAAAACAAACTTATGAGTAAGAAAGACCAAAAACTCATAAGAGATCATATTACATTATTATAATAAACTGTATTATCTGTATCCGATGTGTTAAATTAGCATAATCTCCACTATTTTAAAATAATAATTTTTCTACAAATATATAATTTAAAATCAGATACTTTGTCGAGATAAATAATAAGTTACTATAATTGTTGAGTATTGTTATTTAAAACAATGTGATGCTTCTATAGTATTTTCAAACTTCGAAACGTTGTCGAAAAATAATATTTTATAATTGTAATAAGAAGCAAAAATATTTAGTAATTATCATAATTATTATGTATAAAGTTAAAAAAAATAAAGATTACGCAGAGGTAATCTGTATGATATAAAATATTTTGGCGTAATATCGTTACATTTTTACAAAAGATGAAACAAACATCATAATCTATCAGTCCAATTCTATTTATTGTAACACGATATGAAGCCCTTAGTAAAGCAATTAATATCCAGTTTAATGACGAGTTGAGATAATATTTGACATTTGTTTATCTTATAGAATCACTTGAAGATATAGCTGTTTATGCGATTATGGAATTTAAAGATAAATTTATTCCGAGAAATTTAAACTTTAGTGTATTATGTATCAAATAGCGCTAATGTAAAAATACCGAAAATACCGGTATTTTTGGGATAAATACCGGTAAAAATACCGCCAAAAAATCGGGCGGTATACCGGTATTGCATTCCCTACTTGCATACATATAATTTATTTGTTATTTTGCTATATGTATATTAGTAGTTAATTATAAGCAATTAGTTTTTGAGTAGATAATTTAGCTCAGTTATAATGATGATTTGTTTTCAAAAGTGTGCGTTGGGTACTGTTACAAATTTTGTGGCTACGGTTGTGAAATGTATTTTTTATCCTTCTCGGGTAAAGATTCGACAGATAAAAAAAAATCTAAATTAAATAAGGCAAAATACAAAAGACAAAGAAAAGGGAGAGTTCAACACAAGAACAAAATGGTTTAACAAAGATTTCTTGTTAACTTTGTTTTAAAAAATATGTTCTGTTATATGTATATTGTTATAAATGATTGTGTTGTGTTACATATTATTGTTATTAACGACAATAAAAGTCATTTAAACCATTTTTTGTGCTTATAGATACTATTTTTTAACCCATGTTTATGTCTGTCACAACGGCCCTGGGGGGTGGACACGGTTGTGACACTCTCCCTTTTCTTGTATGATTTCATTTTATGACTAATCCATCTAGGATCTAATCCAATCATATGTAGACAAATGTCTAAATTACCATTTAATTTACATTTCTCCCAGCTAACTGGGAAATTAACAAAATTATGGCTGAAAAAAAAAGTGACAAAACCCTGCCCAGTCTCCCCTATATAGAATTTATTGCTAACTTAATAACTGTATGCATTTACATTAAGTGTCACAATATTCCAAATTGATATTTTTTGCGGAAGGGTTTGTTCTGCAAGAATAATGGAAAATATGCCAGTATATTTTATCTAATGTTTGTAATCTACATTTTGAACGTATTGCAAACTTTATATTAAAATATAAATAAATCTGTACTAAAAGATTAAGAAAGAAACAATGTCGAACACTTCATTAGTATAAAAAATACTCGTAGTCGTAACTGAGAGCTTAAAACAAATTTACAACTTACAACATATTTCTTAAAGGGCCAATATGACTATAAATAACGCTATTAGTATATTTAGAAGTTGTCATAGGTCGTGGTAAATCAGTTATCTCGCAAGATTTTTTTGAATGGATTATACATACTACTAGAAACATATTGATGATACCGAATGAGTCATGAATTCTGAATCATCATTCAGGTATATGTGGTAATAATCAATTAAAGATCATGTCATTCTATTGATTAGTAAATTTGAACAAACTAAAAGATGAAGGTTAATGTTAAAAACATTATAATATTGCAATCTCGATTTAGAAAAATATACCACAGAACAAATATAGAAATCATTTTCGGCAGTTTCAATTCACTTAAATGCTTATCAAAAATATATCCATAAACGTAATTTTGCAAGTGTTTCCATTCTGATTGAGAGTTGATTTATTGAAAGGAGTACGTTCGCTGAAACTAATTTGGGCATGAAATGTCAACCTGAAGTTACATTTTTATGTATTTTTTCTACATTTAAAACAATTACGCCGAATTTAAGCATGTTTTTATTGTTGAAAAGACCTTCAAATAACACGTGGAAGACAATCTTTTGTAAACAGATGCATGTGTATTCCAAAGTTCAAGTATGTAATACAAAATGATTCTATCTATAAACGATCAACGTTTGTTTTCATTTATTTTGTTACTAATAAAATTAATTTCGTAATAGCAATTGCATTTTATGTTGTAACAGTAAATATGTGTAAGTAGAATAATTAAATATGTAGTCATATAAATGAAAAAGCCATTATGAATGTTAATTTACGCATACATATATATTTTTCATTTATATAAATCATAATGTAATAACCAATGGAATAATACTACAATTAGTTTTTGGGTGTTATTTCAATGAATGTACAATTCTGGCAATGTAATTATAAATATGCTATGAAAATGCGTAGGATCTTTTTTTTTCAAAAAATATAATAAAAATGTTGTAATAAATAATTTTGTAATCATAATAATTGTAATTATATAAATATAATATATATTATATGATCGCCGAAAAAGTTTATAACAATTTATTTAACATTTTAATATACTCGATTTAATTTTAATGTATGAGAAAAAACAATTCGGAGCTTTAAAGTTTTTTTTTATTTCATATGTGAACTTTTTATTTTAAAAATTGTGTTTATAAAACTGGAATGCACAACAATGCAAAGTTAATTCTTGTAAAGAAATGTCAATAAATGTAATACGCCAAAATAGGTTAGAATATAAATGGTTTGACAGTTCGCAATGAAAGTATATGAGTGGGTGTATTCCCAAGATAGGGGATGAAAAGTTTTCAATCTCACAATGAAATATGGATATTTCTCGTGTTTTCGTGGTTATTATTTATACTTTCTACTGGAAAACAAGTTTTTTGCACAGTTTTATTACGAAAAATGTTATGTCGTAAATTTATGGTATGGGTAAAAAAAAATTCCACGAACCTCTTCCCGTCGCTTAAGCCACCTTCCACAGGGGCTCTCCTCTAGGATTTCGCTTTCATCCTCGGAATCCTCACCGCTCTCTCGAGGAGATCTGTTGTCGGGATCAAGGCGACTGTCCGGCATCGCAAAATTTCCACTAAACACTTTTTTTAGTAAGAACCACGCACTACATACATTAATATTTACACGTTCACTAAGATACTGTTGCAAAAGACATTTATACTTTTGACAATTAAATTTGTTTTATAACAAGGAGCCAAGGTTACCGGTCTATGACTGGACGTCATTGATCTAACTCAACAACGTTCAAGTTAGCTGCATTGATTGCTCGAATGTTGACTTATAAAGGGGGGCGAACGCGGATAGTAGATTATAACAATGCATTATCACTCGATGTTAATAGTAATAGCCCTTTAATTGAACTAAGAATGTTCATTGTTATCCAATATTAATATTTCAATATGACAAAATAGCACAACCACCACCAATGGAAAGTGAGATTAAACTAGCCAGAGATGCCACTACAGAGACTTGGAGCCATGGCTTCGAATGCGCAGGCAACTTCACACCGCGGCGCGCCCAACTCATAATTTAAATCAATTCTTTACAGCGTTTATGGCGCGAAATTTTAAATGAGACGAGAGAAGCGACTATGAATATTTTTACAAAGTTGATTGCTTTTATTAGTGTTTTGACCTCTAGTATTATAATAAATTATGTATATTCAAAATAACGAATTTACAAAATTATGAATAAGATAATTTGCAACAACTTATACACTTTTTGAGTCATTCAAACTGTTGTATTTTTCCTGTTGTTTGTAATGTCTTCATAAGAAAAATAAAAAACATATTAAATAAAACACAATAATACATAAAAAATTATATCTGTAACATGGCTTATATTTCAATTATAAACAGTCAATATCAAATGTAATATTATATATCTTTAATAACAAATGTGAATAAATATTTCCATTATCTCTTAAACACCATAGGCAAGATTTATATATCACAAAAAAACAATAGATGCTTCAACAACTATATACAATACTTTTTTAATTATTTTTTTCAATTATATAATATATAATAAATAATTTGTAGGTGCATCATAAATGAAGGCAAGTACTCAATTGCAAGATCTTGTTTTGAAATTAAATATAGATTAAAATTAATAATAGTGCTATAAAATGGCACAATACTATACATATTTGTATTTATGTATATGCGGTTTGAAAGTGTTTGCACAAAAATGTGGATATATATAAAAATGCAGATGTGCAGTTATGTAAGTCTGAAAGCGTTCATACTTTGGATCATGAGCGTGATAATTTGATGCAGCATGATACATTGAATAAATGTATGTTTTATTTAAGTTATGTATCAATTTAACATTGCTCGCTATTATCACCTAGCAATTGTCAAGATTTAGTGATTACTTGTATTTTGATAATGGGAATGATTTTGAATAATAATAAAAATGCTATCTTTTGAACAAAAATTATCATAGAATGAAATATAAAATTTGAGTATAAATTTGTAAAATCTATTAATCTCCAATCTATACTTTGTAATAATAGAAAAAACTTTTACCCATTCATAGCATACAAGTTTACAGATATCATCGAACATTTAATGTTCTGATCATATATATATATATAATTTAATAAATCGACTATATACCATGCGGCATCATATAATCCACTCCAAATTTTATATGTGTGTGCAGACAAAATTTTGCAATGTTAATTCATTTTAACACAAACAAACATTATGACTGCTCTTGATTATCTTTCATTACCTCCATATCGTCCCTACATCTTGGTATATACAATGTTACACAAGTATGTTCCCAAATATCTTGAGGATATTTATCAGCTGTTGTCCATTGTTTGCTTTCAATATCATAACACTCAATAGCTGCTGTAACTCTATCAAACATAACATCACTATGAAACCCACCTATGAAATATATTTTTGTATTTACTGCAACAATTCCGGCATGATATCTAGGTGTAGGAACTCTGGTGATGGTTTCCCAAACATTAGTGCTGACATCATATAAATCAATTGTATCGACTAATACACGATTTCCAGTTTCCGTGTCTTCATACCAACCACCACAGACATATAAGTTATTTCCAATCAAAAGCATAACATGATCTGCTCTCGGAGTTAACATTGATGCTTTGTTTTCCCAAATATCTTCAAATATATCATATCTGCAAAAATAAATAAAATAAGTATTTAAAATAATAAATATACAAAAACTATTGTTAACTTGTTAAAGTCTATTGATTTGCCTAAAATCAACATCATAACAAGGTTTACTTCGATTCTTTTAATTTAATATATTTAAAAATTACCCACCGAACCATAGACGACAAGACCATATCTCTTTCCAATCCTCCTGATATGAAAATAGAACTAGCATCACTTTTAGGCCAACTAGCACCAGCATGCTGAGTTCTAAATTGAGGCAGGGGTCTGAAACTGAACCATGTATCAGTAACTGGATCGTAACTCTCACAGGCACTGACTTCTTCGTCAACATTTTCCAAATCATCCATTTCACTAACTCCCCCTATAGCATATAATCGCCCTGAAGCTACATTCAAAGAAAATCTACATCTTTCCCTTTGCATGGGCGCCATTGTAGTCCATTTATTTGATCTAGGACTGTAACAGAATCCAAAAGGATGTATATTTTCTTGCAGTAATTGATTGAAGCAACCACCAACAACAAATAATTTATTGTCTAGAACTGCAGTGCCAAAATTACATTGTTCAACATGGGGTATTGAGGTAAGGTGTCTCCATTTTCCAACGCTAGGTAAGAAATATGTTATTTCATTTGTAATCCCACCAATCCCAAAACCTCCCACTTTTATCACAGCTAGTTCCATACCTCTCGAATTAACAAGAGGTATATCTTTTATTTCTTCTGTTAAGGTTGAGACCTATAAATTTGGTTACATTAATTTTGTAAAGTATGAAGAAATAAAACTTATAAATTGAATCAAAACTTTGAAACTTTTTCAACAATATTAAGTTTTATCTGGATCATATTATTGTAATATACATACCTGGGGTATTGTCTGTCGATAAGCTTCTGCAAGAACCATTCGGCATAAAAATTGTTCAGTTAAAGGCATTTTTGATGCTGCATGACCATATATAAATTGGTCTTTTAATATTGAGTCTAATTCCCATCTTTGAATTTCAGAAAAATGTACTCTCTGAAGCAATGCTTGTGCATATTTTTGTGCTCTGCAAAATCATTTCCCTTAGATAAGTTATAAAAACTGAATTTACTAAATATTTATACTAAAATATTTTACTAAAGGTATCAAAATTAAAAAATACTTCTTACAGAATTAAAATTTCTTATATTTTATCCATAGATAAAAGAGGAGTATCAAGTAATGAGTTTATGTATTAATAACTTATCATATAAATTATGTTTACACAGCAATATTAAATGTAATGTCTTAAAAAGCTTACATGTACAGAGTAATCTATTTTAATAAATAAAACAATATTAAAACTTTTGAGTATAATGAAGAGTCTACTTGTATAAAAATTATGTTTTAGATCACAAAGTGTGATATATAGTTATTTTTAATGTTAATTGTTCATAAATTGGCAATTATTTTTGTTATTATTTCATCAAATTAATAGAAACTTCTACTGTTTACACTGTATATAACTTACTCCATTGGATCCCTATTTCTCAACCATTTTAAAACTATTTTTAGAACTTCTTTTTCTGGGCAATCCACCGGAAAATCACAAACTAATAAATGTTCAAGTTGTTGTAATGATAAGCACTGAAATTCACTAGAACCAGAAAATTCTTGTAAATGTCCACTCATAAATCTGAAATGAAAATATACATTCAATATAAAATTAATAACCAAATTTCATCATTCATTTCATAATCAAATTTATTTACCTATAAACTTTGTGTCTTAGTTGAGCAAGTGAATAAGTTTCAGCTATTGTTACAATATCGACACAATTTTCTAAATCCAATTGAGACTGCAAATAATTAGAACATGCTTCGACAACTGCATCAACCTACAAAACAAAAAAAAATCAATTTCAATCAGTTCACATATTACAACACAAATATTTTTAATATGAATGTTCAATAAACTTTTAACAAATTTATATTTGCAGCAATAAATTATTAGTATACCTATATAATAATTTGTGTATATGTAAAGTAAATAAAGTCTATATAAAAAGCATAATATATTTATATTATAAATTATTTTTATTTTTAAATGTAACATATATAGCACTTACTTGAACATGACTAGCAGCCGATAAAACATCTTGTATATTAGCTAAATTTAATGCTAATCGTGATGTATAAGCGTAATCTAATAATAATTTAATTCCATTTGCTGTAACTCCATTCAAACTAATTTCACTTTGTCTTGCTTCTAGCATGGCATCAGTAAACATGGCTCGAAAATAATCACTACATGATGCTAAAACTGCTCTATGTGCCTGGAAATATATATATATTGATAAAACCAAATATTGGTAAATTTAAAACTTCTATGTATACACCTAATACCTTAAATGCTATTCCTTCTGCTAACAATGTTATGTCCAAGAGTTGACCTTTTTTCCATAATTCATGTAAACCAGATAATAACGTACCAGTGTGTGATGGAGAATCAAAATAAACAGTATTCAATGGTTTATCCAAGAAGCTAAAATCTTTAGCTTTTGTCATTATGAGTATTACCAGTTTTCAAACTAAACCTGAGAATACCATTACTCAATAGTTTTAAATATGTCATTTATCTTAGCATGTGGAGAAAGTGCACATTCCGCCACTGCGCAAATTTTAATTAAATCGTTAACAAGTAATTTATAATAATTTATTAATCATTCCACTATGAAGAATATGTCATTTTAGAAGGTCTTCTAGTCACTTTTACATTTAATTTTCATAAAGCATTTATTGTGCAACTTTGTTGTTATGCGTTTATGACATCTAGCACACGATTCAGAGTTATTCATTTTAACGTGGCGTCATCGAATGAGCGAACCACCAAACATATATTTTAAACGATTCTGATGAACGGCGGATATTTTGAATACGAAATTCAAAAATGTATATTGAAATTATTTTACACCATCCAAAACTTTAACCTAAGTCTATATATAAAAATTGAATAAAAATATTCACTTCTTTTTGAGTTTGTTTTCATTCATATTTACTTCATTTACTATTTTAATATTGTTTCAAATTCAATGCAGTCCACCGCTCTACAAACTGAACTATAGAAGGTTTTATTCTCAAAACAAATGTTAGTTCAGATGGTTCAGATGCATTATAAATATTACTGTTCTAAATTATTTTCAACATCTCATTTTGATCGGTATGAGAATTAGTGATCTTGTGAATATTAGTTGACAAACAGACCAACCAATATGAAAAATGAGTTTGGACACCATTTTGGACTATAAACTTTGAATAAATGTGTCAGTGATAATGAATAAGTAGTTTCAGTTAGGAAGCAAGATCGAAATTATGTACTTCTGGGAAATTCGGGTACTACTCATAGATAAAAGAAGAGTATACTACTAATATTTCTGGAATAAATGTAATGTAAGGTTAGTATAAATTTATTTCATAAATATAAACAAAATTTGTAATCATCTCAACATTTATAGATACATTGCTTCTTCCCATATGTGCCTTAATATTTTGCACTGACAAATCTGAAATTTTAGTTTTAATAGTAATGCATTAATGATATATCATAATTTTGGAACAAAGTGATTCAAAATTGGAGCTAAAGCACATACCTGTCCGAACTTGAGCTTAGTATTGCATTTATACGAACAATAAGTATTTGTCCATTGATTCTTTACTTAAATGAAAAATCTTCAAAAATACTATAAACGCCAAATATTTTTTAATTGAATGGCGCAACAGTACAAATGTACCGACTCATGTGGTCGAGTTGTGAGTTTAAACCTCTCTCTGGACAACCTGACATTGAGCACAGCGATGTCCTTTTTCACTTGAAAATATAAATCAACTAGTGGGGTGGGTGGCATCGTGCCTTAAGGCAAATTGCTGGAACTTCCCGTACCGTAACGAAATGTTCGAGGAATACTGAATGTTTTCAAATAGATTATTATAAATATTGTAACATTGTCTAATATTTATAAGAATTATATAAACTGAATTGCAAAGTTGAAATTATTTGTTTCAACAAAAAAACTAAAAAAAAAAAAAAAACAAAAAACAAAAAAAAAGAATGGAACAAAAATTTTTTTTTCCAAAACCAATTATTTTGTTAAGACAAGCAGAAAGTTTTTTGAATCATTCAAATCGGACGCTTACTTCTATCAAAAACTGCCATTTTTTACATATTTAGCTCCGTATCTTCGAAATGGCTGGGCCTGCTTTTTCCAAAAACTAATAAACACTTCTCCCAATCATTACTAATTGAATGTTTTTTAGATCATTCAAATCGGATACTCCGTTCTCTCCAAAATTCGATTTCTATTTTCCGCACTCTTTGCTCCGTATCTCCGAAACGGCTGGACCTGCCTTTGCCAAAAACTAATCAGCTCTTTTCCCTATCAATAGGAATCGAATGTTTTTTGAACCATTCAAATCGGTTGATCCGTGCGCCCTAAAACGTGACTGGAAATTTGTATCCACACATACATACACACACACACACACATACACACACACACACATCCATTTTTTCTGAGGTATGCCAAAACGTTCAGAAACCTTCAAAACGTCGAGAAATGTAAAAATTTTCAATTCCGATTTTCGGCCCATTACAATAACTTACCCTACGGGAAGTTAAAAATGTGTGAAAATAGCCTATTTTGGGCACTGCAGTGTGAAATGGGAAAGCGAGGGAAATCTTTCACACTACTCTTCCTTAAATCAAGTTAGTTAACTAAGCTCACAGACCTACTGTAGGGCAGTACCACCCATTATTATAATTATTATATGACTTAGTATTATTATTTCAATACTTCATATTCCATCAAGAACCAAAAACAAAACATTGATATACCCCATATTCATAAATAATTATTTAATTGCCTATATCAAATAATATACATACATAGATCCTTTTAAAAATATTTTACAATATTAGATATACAAAATAACATGTGTTGTGCTCAATTGTGACATAGCAACAAATTGTGCTGATAAAACTATCCACAGGGCTACAAACAAATATTTAATATTCATTTCATAACTGATAACTGAAAGACTCCATGTTATTAATCTATATTGTATTAATTAATCATTATGAGGTATCAACTTCATTAGCGTCAACCATTTCAAAGTCTTTACCAGTTGATGATCTCTGTGATGATTCTGATTCACTTTCTGATGGTTCCACAGGTGTCACTTCAATTGTAGGAGAAGAAAGTCTGAAAAATATACAAAGTTATTATTATAAATAAACATTATTATAAAAAAGCAATTATTGAACGTCCATACCGCTGGCATTCATTATCTTGACTTTCAACAGGCTCAGATACAGTTTGCTTAGATATATTTATTTCTTTCTCTCGGACTTCATCTTCGTTGTCACTATATTTATCTTTTTTCTTTTTCTTTTTTTTACTAGTATTTTCTAATGCTTCACCTCCTTTATATTCATACTGTAATATAAAAATTAAGTATTCTTAATTATATTATTGTCATGATAGTATTGAATATTAGATATCAAATAATAACTAAAAGTGCATACATTTGTAATTACGATTGTAAAATTAGATACACAATGAAAAACTCTCCAGGAATCAAATTATATTTTAAATTAAAGTATCTATTAAATATAAGATTACCTTATATAGAGGCCAAAATGATGCAAAGAACCCAACATCTTCTGTTAAATTTGGAAATAGCCATAAATGATGTTTACCAAGTGTTATGATCCAAATTATACAGAATATTATTAAACGTATAATAGTTAATGCAATTATGAATACCAAAAATCCTGCAGCTGCTATACTTAAATAATACACTCCTTTCCTAATTATAACCATAGAACTCATTATCAAAATTAAATCATATTACATCATTACTATCAGATTCATACTCACCTCACTGTTGGTGGCCAAAGTGGAAACAAGCAAACTCCAATCGCACCTAATACCAAAAGTGTTCCAAATATCCAATAATGTAAAGGAATAGGGTCATATATCCAAACATAAGCTTCCGATCCATCAACAAACACTTGATGCAAATGCATTTCTAAGCGTATCTTTCTCTTACGTTTTTCCTTTTCTTTCTCAGGTTCCAAGCTCTAAAACAAATAATTACTTATGTAAAAGATTCACTTACTCTATTAAATAAGATCATGAGTTCTTATTTTTTTATTTTTTTTTTGTTATTATTTACAATATACCATCTTATCCTTTCCTTCAGCATTGCTATTCTGTGCTTCAGTTTGTGACTCAGGTTTCTCAATTTTTTTCTCTTTCGATTCTTTTGGTTTCTTACCACTTTTATCACCCTTCTTACGATTTTTCAATTCCTGCTCTGATACAGGAACCTACAATAAATAATCAGCATAATATAATTTATGTTTTGTCTTATATATAAATTTTAGAATATTAGAAAATTACCTTCACAGCTCGATGGAAAAATTTATGGCGGAGCATTGTGTTCATAAATTCAATAGCAAATTCTCGAGTTGGAAGTAAAGCATCTTCACCACCAAATTTTGATGCCATTAAAGCATCAAGAGCTTTACTCGCTGCAACATAATATCAGACATAAAAAGCAATCAAATATAGTGCTTTCGAAATAATTTCTCATCTATGCTTATTCAATTCAAGTGGTTACATGTTTATTTTTGTAACAAAGGTTTTATGTTTATTAACAGGAATGAATACTTACAAGTAAAATATTCCACATTATGGTTAATAAATTTAGTTTTTTTTGTTGGAACATTTTTACGTAACCATTTTGCTATTGTATATTCATCCTTTGATGGTTTTTCCACTTCTTCGGGAGTACCTCCTGGGCCTGTGTATTCCTGTAATTAAAGTATAAATAAAAATAGCATAATTTCTGTATGAGTTAATTTTATTGATAGACGGCATTTTTATATATAAAATCTTATTAAGATAGCTGTCATTGTGACGCCCGTGGTTTCCAACATATGTGTACGATGTAAATAACACGATACCGTTATGTCAAACTAGATATTTGTTTGCAGATTTTTTAAAGTTATGGCGTATATAAAATAGAAATTATACCAAATATTATTTTGGTTAACTATAGCTACATGTTACAAATATATTAGAAGATCCACTGTTTATAAAATAGTTAAATAGCAAAAGTTGTAAATGTCATCATTAACAACGTCATCTATTAAAGCAATGTCATAACACTTGATTTATCCATAAAAATATGACTTGAATTATTTATACTGAACTCATTATGAATTTTAATGATGAAATTTTAGTTTAATTAATATAATAGAAACTACATACATCTTTGCGCTTTTTTCCCCGTTTCTTCTCAGCCATGTTGTTTTCAGAATGAAATTATTTCATTTTAATTTTTGCAGTTGGTCAAGCTCTTGTTTTAATGATGTTGGAACTGAATGTATTCGGCGCGCGTTTTAAATTAGAAATATTTCGTAGAGGAAACCGCTGCTTTTTCTAAATGTTTATTCGCTGAAGACTTATTTGAGAAAAGCTTTTCTACTGAACAAGATATAATTACTTATTGAATATATTTCAATATTAAAGAAATGATTTGATATTTTTATAATGGTATTCATTGTGTAAAACAAAAAAAAAATATAATTTTGATGAACTGAACACATATCAAAAATTCAAAAACTTATAAATAAAAAATTGAAAATCAATTTACTATTTTTAATTTAGCGAATTAGTTGCAAATAGTATCAAATATATTTCAACATCGAATAAACAATTGCAATACAATATTCTACCAAGTAAGCAGTATAAAGAAATATTTTTTTTTACCATTTTTAGTAGCCAATTAATTTTCTAAAAAAAATAATAATATTTTTTTTATCTGTTTATGTATTTAGCATTTAGGAAGTATCAGTTTAAAAAATTAAAGTAAGCATTGAGCATAAATTACAATAAAGCCTAGTATATAAGATCATAAATTTAGTAAAAATTTGGTATTTTCAATGTAACACAATTTTATCCATTTATAATCAATAAACGGTAAAATGTATAACAATATAATAATGATTTATTAATGAATATCAAATAATTCAATTTAATAAAATAAAGACACATCTATTTCAAAAAGAAATTTACATTGCCAATTGAGTAGTAAAAATATGCACTAGTGGAAAGAAAATTGATATATTATATGAATATTGCATTGTTATTGATTTATTAATCATAAAGCATATATTTGCAACAAAGATAAAATCATAAATGACATAACATTTTAGGTTCAAATGATACCTAAATAAAACCTAATTTTAAGTTAAAAAACTCAAATAACATCTAGACTAAAAATGGCATAAATTATCAATTTCTATTACACAACTAAAATATGCATAATTTCCATCGTATTATTTAGTGGAAGGATAATAATATAAAACTGTAGATCCCGGCAGTTGCCAATGTGATGCTTGAAGTTCAATGAGTTGAAGAAGCGTCTTTCTAATACTAGGTTCCATAGATGTACTCAAGAAAGCATCTCTTACTTGACGCAAAAGTTTGTCAAGCTGATTTGGCATATGAATTTCCAGATCTCTTCCAATGCATGTTAATACAAAAAAGAGACATTCGATCTGTGGACCAAAACAATTTTTCTGTACATTCAATATATTTATAAAATTTTCGATTTTCTTTAAATATAGTCACTATAAGAGAAATAAAGTAAAACATGTTTATAGCAATTATTTTAAAAACGGTTAAATATTTTTTAATAACAAATTCAAAAACATCTATTAAATAACTTATTTTCTACATATTATCATAATATATCACATATAATCCAGTAGCATTATGAAAAATTATACCTCTGACAAAGATGAGATCGGTGGCTTCACACATTCTTCACAAGATTTGCACAATAAAGTGAGTAACACCATAGGTGGTGAAATTCCATCACATTGGGTTTTTAATTGCAATTGCCTTCTCTTCAACTGAGAAAACATTTCCATCAAGAAGGCCATGAATGCTGTAAATCTTGTACGAGACTTTGTTTTAACTGAGAGACGTAAAATCTTGAAAGAAAGAAAATATATAATACTAATATTGTCATTTACGGTAGTTAATAACAAAATAATTATTATTTTACGGTAGTTATTAAAAAAATAATTATTATTTTCATTAGATTTATTTTTTGTCTGCAAACCTTGTCTCTTTCTTGGTACCACTGTCTGCATGTATTTATAAGTGTTTCCAAGAATGTTTCTTTTTTTTCACTCGCTATAATTTTTATGCAAAGTCTAGCTGCTGGAAGAGCATACTTTTGACTTTCTACAGCACGTTGCATCAGACTATTTGAAAGATTGATTAGAGCTCTAGCAGATAACTGATTTGGATCTGTAATTAATAAATTGAAATATTAAATTATATTAATTATTAAATATATATTGTATTGCAATTATTATTAAGTTGCTTATCATAATTTTTTCAATACCATCAAAAATATTGATTAAAAATCATACCTTCACAAGCCAATGTAATTATCTCCTCTATTTCTGCAGGAAAGGGACCTAAATTAGGAACATCTGAGCTAATGTCGAGTCCTAATGATAAGCTCCTAGCTAGCGAATCTGCAGCAGACATGCTTTTAGATCGTTGAAGACCACCAGGTATTGTTACTTTGTTTTCCACTCCATTTGCTATTGGTGTTTGCTCTAACTTGAAGTGAACTTTCGGTGTATTCTTATGAAGAAAAATAAATATTAAAAATTCTTCTTCAACATGTCTTCTGAAATTATCAGCAAGACTACATACTCAATTCTTATTTCTATATAACTTTTTCTTAAATTGCAAAGTAAATGTCGTACATAACGTGCAGGAATGACTTTAAGTACCATTAAGAATAAACTTTATAAGAAAAGTAATTCAAGCAGCAACATTAATAGATTGTGTGAGTAAAACTTACAAACAAATGAATGTAGAGCATTGCACTGTAATATATTTATATCTAATTTAGATACTTTTTCACTCATAAGTAATACATTGAATCACAAATGTGAATAAGTAATTAAACGGCTGGTTTGTACTATAAGTAGTTGGCATTTATTAACACAATCATTATACACATTACAAAATAAAAGTTCAAATAATGTTATCAAAATAAATATAAAATCAGTCTAATCATAAAATATTCCATTTTATACATCGTAATTGAGTTAGTTCTACATTTTTCCAGATCACTTCTTGGTCTTTGGTCTTCCTCTCTTGACTACTCCTGCCGCTTTTCTGGCTTCTTTCTCAGCTAAAGTTTTCTGCACTTTTTCTTGTTGAGCAGATGTCAATATTTTCTTTGGGCGCCCCCTTTTTCCAACTTTTCCAGGGGATTTAGTAGCTGCTTTACCGGCTTTGGCTTTGCTCTTTGCAGGAGATTTTTGTTTTTTGGCAGGAGAGTTCGCCTTTTTGCCGCCCTTCTTAGATTTTGTTTCGGTATCAGACATTTTCACAGAATATAACTCGCCGCAACGAACGAAAAAAGCGTCAAAGATAAGATGTCTTCAAATAATTGTTGTAAAAAAGCTTAACTAAAACTTGTTCAAATCAACGGTTTGATTGCAAAATAAGAAATAAAATGGCGCTCCGTCTGTCGTACCGCTACGAGCTCTTGTTTACGACTTGAACTTATGTAGCCATACCAAGGCAGTTGTTTAGTGTTGCCCAATGCGAATTCTATTTGTACACGAGCTAAAGATGCTTTCACACGAGTCAACGATAGAAATTTTTCACTCCCAACTTGTGTTCTAAATAACAGACATTTTAAATTCAGAACAATTAATTGTTCTGATTTTTAGAATCGATTCAGAACGCTTGCAAATAATATTTTTCTTATTACAATATCAAAGTATCTATTTAGAATTCATCAATTTAATCTCTGTAAAATGTAACAAAAAGCTGCATTTGTGATCACTTTGTTACTTAAGAAAAATCACAGACAAATCTTCAATCTCGCAGCTTCCTTAAACCCTCGATGGCTTTGGAGTATAACACACGAAAATTTAACAATACAATCGTTAAATGTTTAAATAAAAAATTGATGATTTTCTAAATATATTAATACTGGATTTCACACTATATTTGTCGTTTCTTTATGCTTGCCATTTTTTAGATTTATCTCATTTTAATTAATTTCAGAGATTATTCTCTTTTTGCATTTGCATCTGCAACTGCATTTGCAACACATAAACTATTTACAAGATTCCTTAATTGTCACTTGTGTTTTAAATCTTTAATATAGTCCAAACACTATGTGAAATTATAAACCAAAAAGATCTATTTAAAAAATATTAAGAATCAATTGTATAATATAGATTTATTATTCGACTTAAGAACTTGTGATAAATAATATCATATATGTATATATGATATTATTGGGATATTGTCTATATCCCAAACGATATAGATAATATCCCAAATATATAACGATAACGATATATCGTTAAATGTTTAAATCAAAATTGATGATTTTCTAAATATATTAATACTGATTTCACACTATATTTGTCGTTTCTTTATGCTTGCCATTTTTTAGATTCATCTCATTTTAATTAATTTTAGAGATTATTCTCTTTTTGCATTTGCAGCTGCAACTGCATTTGCAACACATTAGGTATTTACAAGATTCCTTAATTGTCACTTGTATTTTAAATCCAAATTCCAAACATTCCAAACACTATGCGAAATTATAAAACAAAAAGATCTATTTAAAAAATATTAAGCGTCAATTGTATAATATATATTTATTATTAGACTTAAGGACTTGTGATAATATCCCAATAATATCATATATATAAATATATGGAACATATATATTATATATTTTATGGATATTTTGAACAAATTAAAACTATATTTCATTTTATGTTAGGTTTTAAAGGAGTTATGTTTCAAATCGTTATATCTACGCTCATAATATATGTGCTCATGAAATAAGTACTTTACAATTTAGTCGTGCGTGCGTGCTTTTTTATTGAATAGGGGATATTTCACCCCTTGTAACGAGTTTTTCTTTATTTGATTATAATTAAGAACTAAACTGTGTACCTCATTGATGTAAAAATCTTCTATTAAACATTGTACAGAAATAATTTATTAACCAATTGAGTAACTGAACAATATATGTATTTCATCGGAGCTGCTGAACTACTTTATATAATTTCGGACGTTATAACATATCCTACATATCAAAAATCCAGTTATTGGCTTCAGAACCGCCATATTGGCTTCATTATTTTTTAGATATGAATAATTTAGCATACTGATACCCATCTTTTTTAGTACGATAAAAGTATAAATGTGAATGTTTCACAACAATTTATGAGTTATTTCGGTCTCAATGATTCTTTAAATTGTTAACTATTTGTTAATTTCTTTTACAATTCAGTCTTCTTATATATTAAATTCATATTTTAATTTAAATCATTTGATTGGAAACATTTTTGTTTCAGATATATTCAAATGGCTTTTTCAATTAGATAGTTAGTCTTGAAAAATTAAAAATTTATTTAAATTTACCTGTATAATATGAGCTGATGCAGAAGTCATAAGTGGAATTGCTGGTATTTGTGGAGACATTTGTCGGTTGTTGTTCTTCATTCCATGATGATTATTATTTGTCTGATGCCGGAGTCCCATAATATTGGCACTTTTCGAATGTTGTAAACCATGCTGCATTTGATGTTGATTAAATGGCACGTTTACACTAGATCTTCAACAAAACAACATCAATAATTAGAAACGAAATTTAATTTACATTTAGTTATAGACTTTGAAACTAATATGTTCAGAATCTCACTTCTCTTAGCTAAACTGTTTTTATTCAGTCACTATTAGTGTATTGACCTTGTTTTCTTTGTAATTTTATTGCTGTTTCCATGCATTATTATTGTTTTTTTGCAACAAGATGCAATAAAATTCAATATTAATTTAATATTCACAAATTATGTTTAGCACTTAGATATTGCCATATTTTTTTATAAAACAATAATATTCTATTCTGCTCATGTTTTAGGCACTTTTTTATCTATGTTTGGCATACTCTTCTTTTATCTATGTTTTGGAATTTTTACATTATAAGTGTCATAAATATCGATTAAAATTATCCAGTTACCTTGAAGTTTGCAGATTATGTTGCTGCCCCATCGCCATCGTAAACTCTTTCGCATGGACGTTCAACTTGTTCGGTCCATCCACACGAACATCTATTATAATAATATTATGAATATACAATAGTAAGGCATATTTTAACGATGTTTGAATATATAGGCTTTGAGTATATACACATATTTTTATTGATTATCGAGCTTCGAAACACAACCCAGAAAAACACATTTTCTTATAACACAAAATCTAGTTATAGGGCATAAAGTAGAAAGGTTATTATTTATAACTTTTTCGTTATAGATCTGAATTAAAATTTCTTCCCAAAATTTTAAATAATTTTGGATTTTTTAAATTGTTTTTATGTTGCTGCAGGTGTTTTATTAAATGATGGCTCTTTTTACCAATATACGATATACGTATGTGTTGAATCACAATCTGAGCAATTAGTTTAGCAAACCACATTTTTCGTTCGATATTGAAAGTGGTTTTTGTTATTGTAAAGACAGGATTATTGTGTTGAATTTGTTAACTAGATATTGTGCTGATTTATAAAGTTATTTTATGTATGGTAAACAAATGACACCAGAGTCAATTTCTAGTCTCCAAGTTTTACTCTTAATTTTTAAACACTATCGTTACAATCTAAATTTTGTTTATTATTTTGTTTATTAACTTATGGATTTTATGATAATAAAAAAAAACAAGTTTTTTAGTAAAATCTTTTTACTGATGTTATGCCCGTTTATCGGACTCTCGGATAATCAGCTTAATAAGTAAACCTAGAATACATTTTTCTTGTTTTACACAATAAATACAATTGTTAAAAAGTATTAAAACAATAATTAAAATTTTAATCATTTAACCAAACCAGAAAAAAATTACATCGCAATCTTCGAAACACTATTAATTTTAAAGAACAAAAATTTTTCAAATCAATTTTTCGATGTTTTCAGAACATATGAAAAATTTTTCAACGACACTTTTAAAACTGTTCAACCTATTGTTTATACAGAGAAAAAAATTGTGACCTCAGAAGATTTGCTAAATTTCTTTATTCGTTTTGTATTAAGAAACGAAATTCCGCCATAGACCTTATAACATATAGTATTATAAGGTCTATGAATTCTACTCATCTATCACATGACAGCTGTCAGTTTATTATTAATTTTATCAAGAATAATTCTATGTCTGCGACACGACCTTTTCCTTTTTTGATGCATTTTGCAGTAGTATTGACCTTGCCCTGTACAACAGTTCAGTTTTGGTAATGATGGATTAGTGATCAAATATTCAAGGTGTTGTTATTTTAGTCAGTTTTTGTTTAAAATAGTGTTTTCTTATTTTGAAAATAATAGTGTTTCGAATTTTGTCGTGCTTTGTTCCATCGTGGTTTGGTATGTATATTTTTACTTACTAAATTTTAAAATTAATGCAATAGGAATAACTATGATATTAATTAGTTGTTGATAATATCTCAGTCCACTTTAATTTAACGTGTTAATAGATGTTTGTATATGTGATACATATAACAAATTTTCCGAAGATCTTTCGATAAACAATGTTTTAAAATAGCCCAGTAGTTGAAAACTTACTAGGGGGCCTATAGATTTCAAGAGATGGCTTGCCTCTTTGTTGATGATTGTAGTGATGTGCGGGGCCATGACCGTGCACGCTACGCCTTTTTGCTGCGCCATCCCTCATCTGAAAAATGAATATTTTAAACTAAAAGCGAACGAAAACCTTAATAAATATTATATTAAAGATATAAATATAAATTATGCACAAAAATGACCATATAAATTTATGCATCGAGTTTGAGTTAAATCTGTAGTATTCTGTTTAAAAATAAATTTGGCTCGGATTTGAGGTTGCCTTCGATAATTTAATCATCTATAATCGCTGTTAGCATAAGTTCTGTATATTGTAGTTGTAGTTGAATCTGCGCAATATTTTCGTCTTAGTAAAAGTAGTAGTAAATAAACGTATCACAGATTAAGTCCGTCGTACAAAAGAAAATTGTATTAGAAGAGAATGAATTTCATATTAGTCAACTGTGATTGACTGATATGGTCGTCATGGAGAGTGACAGAATTCTGTGCATTTAGAATAATCGTCATGCCTATAAATCATTGACCATTAGCTATTTAGACAGCAATTTTTGAGAAGAAGAAAACAAAATATATTTCTATGTTTCAGGATATTTAGTATATTTTGAAGCTACGCCGGTATAAAATAAGTAATTGATATTTTACCTCAAAATAATACTAATAAAATTGTGCGTACAGTTCAATGAGTGTGCACTGGTTAAGGTAGAATAAAATAACCCTAAATTGTTACTTTGTGAGTTTAAAATATATTATATTCAGTGGTGTTGTCGAGCCGGAACATCGTTCCGGCAAATAATTTTTGAGCCGAAACGCGTTCCGGCAAAATTTTTTTTTTTTAAATCGCTACTACTAGAAAATGATTTAATAAGTGAATTTTATAAATTATAATTCAACTAATTTTTATTAAATGTTCCTTTTATTGTAATAAACATGCATATATGTGCACAAAATGGGTTTTGTAATGATTTTTGTTTCTTTCCTTTTCGAACGGAACCGGAACAAACATGAGAACCGATTTATAAACCGGTTTTTAAATTTCAGCGTTCCGGCAAAAAATATTAAATTTTAGCGTTCCGGCAAAAAAAATATTAGCACAACACCACTGATTATATTGTCTAAAAACATACTCCAATAACTAACAAAACATTTTTTTCCGAACGCCTAGGCCCTTAAAATTATTGTGTAAATATAGCGGCCAATATTCCTTTTTTGTTATACTTTTAATTACAATATATCATACCAGGATAAATTCAGCAATTGTTTTGACTTTATTACTTGGCTTCTGAATGGATTGCAACCCAGTTGTTATCCAATCCAGTTGTAAATAATTAACTATACTCGAAGAATTTATTGGCATTTTTGTGAATTTATATGCAGCTATATCCACAAGGAACGATTTTTACTTGAGATCCAAAACCTCAAGTGAAAATTTGACATCAAAGCTGCCCGATGTCAGCATATAAAATAATAACTACATGCGAGTTAAATTTTTAAAACTCAAAACTCAACTTCAAATCATTACAAATTGAATGTTTTTTAGATTATTCAACGTTCTCTCAAAAACTCGATTTGTATTTTTTGCACTCCTTGCTCTGTATCTTCATAACGGCTGTACCTGCCTTTGTCTAATCTAATTTAACTAATCAGCACATCTCCCTATCAATAGAAATCGAATGTTTTTTGAACCATTCAAATCGGTTGATCCGTGCGCCCAAAAACTTGGACGAAAAAATGCGGACATACAAAACGCACACACACATCCATTTTTTCTGAGGTATGCCAAAATGTTTTTAATATATTCATGCAATTTTAATAATACACTTATCCTTAATAATATATTGTTGCTGATATTTTTAATGTGATTTTATTAAAATCACTTTCAATCAATTTTATACTTTTTTATTAATTTACTTCTAGTGCTGCCTTTCTCAATGCTTGATTTTTGAAAAATATCTTATTTGTCATAATGAAGTTTCAATTCAAATATCTGAGAATTTATCAATACTCTTGTTATTTTCGGAAACAGGAAATGTTTGTTTTGTTTCATGTTTTAGAAATTCGTTACCATTCCCAGAGCCATAAATTCAAATATCGAAAATTTCGAATTATCAGTTTGCTGAACATCTGAAAATTATACTGATAAGTTAGTCTAAATAATATATATAATAAATGTAATAATGTAATAAATTATAATTTATTTTTCATTTTTTATAAATTATTTATGACATTAAATTTATACGTTTCCAATCACATTAATATATTCTAAATGTATAATTAGTAAAAATGTTGTATTATTCAAATAGTAATTTACTAATTGCTTATAATTTAATTTAAATATATTTATACAATAGAGTAATTTTAACCGTAATATGTGACACAATACAGAGAACAATTGCATTCAGGTTTTTATAAATACATTTCAACCTCATACTAGAAACATTTGGTACACTTAAAAGATTCCTACCATCGAATTCTATTTTAATCCATGTGAATGAACTAAAATATTCTGAATTTTTATAGTTTCCTTTAAACAAAAGCAAATTAATATAGAAATATTTATACTTTTCTTTTGAAAGTTACGTTCGATGGATAATTATTATAAAAGTCACATGAAATACAATGAGGCATTATTTTTTTAATAATGGTGAAGCAATATCTACAATGTATGTATGAGATGATGCATTAATTAAAAATTAAGTACTTTTAAAATATTATAGGCCTTTGAAAAGTGGTTGATTTATAAAAATTCTTTGAAGTTTGGAAAAATGGGTTGCACTTTTTAGAGCATTTAAAAGGGTATTTGTGCATGCACTATATTAATACAAAACAGATATAACGTCTGTTTAAAAAAAATGCATTATAAGTCTGTTTAGACTTAGTTATATCTGATGTATGTAAGTATGTATCAATGTATCCATACATACACCAGACTTACTTATAGTCTGATGTATGTATGGATACAATTTTTCGTCCACGTTTTCGGGCGTACGGATTAACCGATTTGAATGGTTCAAAAAACATTCGATTCCTATCGATAGGGAGATATGCTGATTAGTTTTTGGCAAAGGCCAAAACAACAATTTTTTTTGTTCCAAAATTTTTTTTCATTTTTTTTTCAGAAATATTTTTTTGTATATCGAAAATAATTCAGATTTTTATTTTAATTCTGTTCTAATATACTTTAAACAAATAATTTCAACCTTCCAATTCAATTTATATAATTCTTATGAATATTAGACAATGTTACAATATTTATAATAATCTCTTTTAAAGCATTTAATATTCCTCGATCATTTCGTTACGGTACGGGAAGTGGGTGGGAAAAAAGGGCAATTTGTTTATGAAATGGGCAGTACACAAAATTTTATTACTACTGTGATAAGTTACATATTAATTTTTTTGCAAATTAGCACGCGGCTATAAGTGAAGTCGCTCGTTCAAGCAAAAACTATCGAACCATTCGAAAATAGTAAATATTTATATATAAATTTAGAACTGGTAGATTTATGTAATTATTGAGTTCCTCCCAACGTGTTTGTTCAGAGTAAAAATAGCATGGTGATCTATTCGATTTTTGGAAACGCTGCTCTAACTTACGATTAGATTTATTTTATAGTTGTAGGATGATAAAAACGCTTACTGAGCGTTACATAAATTTAAATCTTAATTCTCGTATAAAGTTTAAAGTATGGCATGCCAAATTTTAAGCAAGAAATGCAGTTAAATTGTAAATTGACATTCACAGATACGTAACATGATTTTGTCACGCCTATAATGATATAGGTTTTGCCATCAGGCACTCCCAAGCAATTAGTTCAATGTTCAATGACATGGCAAAAGTAATAATTTAATTATGAATGAATACGTTATTACGCATGTGTGCAATAATGTTCATATATGTTTAGCATTCATAAAAATTACATACAAGTTCAAATACTTGTATGTAACTGTATATGTGTTTATATTCATTCAAAGAACCAATTTAATATAAAGCTAAAGTGTACTTTAGCTGTGTGACGACTGTCACTACAAAAACTTTGCACAACCATACAGTGTCCCACGTCATATATAGTTTAATTGTAAATTTATAGTACTAATATAAATATATTTTTAAAAAGTCATCTACCTTCGGATAATGTTAATATTACTTAAAATGTATATATTTATATAAAGTGAAAAGACTGAATGATAGATGTTGATATTTCAAATTTGAATTCGTTCGATATCTTTGAATTACTCCCATACTATTTCATCATGCATATAATGTGTACGTTATAAATATGTTATGAATGCGAAATGCATTGTATGTAAATTATTTCTTAAGCAAATTGATTACGAAAAGAATTACTGTTCCGAAAGTAAATTAATCAAGTGTAGTATTATGAGACTAGGACTTCAACTGAACATTCGATTTTTTACGGATTCCTAAATTATTATTACATTCTAGAAATCGCTTCAGGATTTTTTCATTTAATGTTTTTAACAAAGTCACAAATAAGTAAAAGTGCGAAAAATAATTTATGTAAGTTATAAAACAAGATTTTTTACCAAATAAAAAAGTTATATTCTGTATTTTAAATTCAATATTACTTCTATATTTTAACTTCAATAGTAAAGTAGATGTTTATAAAATTCGTCAATCTTGAATTCAAGCAACTTGTAAGGCTATATTTGGCTTGTAATGTTATATTTGTAGACAAAACAATGGATCCAAGGTTCATTTGGTGTTGAATACATGAAATATCATATATGAAAACAAATGCTATCAAAAAAATCAAATAAGGTTTAAATACAAAGTTAATTCACAGATATCGATACATGTTTTCTACTTAAACTAGATGGCCCGACAAACGTTGTCCTGTACCCATTTCTACAATGTTTAAATATAATATACTAATATTTACCGTTTACATAAAAATAATGTTTTTTAAATTACTCTCACGCTAAAATGCATATACATTTATAATGTGAGCGATGTTAAATGTAGAACTGCTGAATAAAATGATGAGTCTCAATTCCCGCACTATATTGGAAATTTAAATCTTTTAAACGGTATAACATAACCATAACCATACATAACACTGGTACTTCATGTTGGATTAAATTAATTTAATTTTTTAGTATTTAGGATATCCAAAATAGCATCTTAAACTTCTCCTAATCGATATTATGGGGCCGAATTGTATGTATTCATCTTTACTTTCCCATTTTGTTGTTATAAAGTGAAATTTTTATGAATTTTAAAAATATTGTGGAAAGATTAGTAAAAAATGCAAAGAAATTATATATTGAAAATTTAATATCCGAGTCTTGTGTTGGCGCCCCCTAAGACGTGCGCTCGTATTTTTTGCATGCATCGCATCAAAGGTAGGACCGGCCCTGATTAATACTTAATTTCATTATTTACCTGAATTAATTTATTATATTCTGTTCATATGTGTATCAATCAATCTGCCATACATATACTGTATTTTATATTATTTTAATTTCTGGCACATCTCAGCTGCTTTTTGGCAATAATAATGTAGACATTTCATTTTTTATTCATAATTATAAATTTATTATACATAGTCTAATATTGTCTAGGTTCATAAGTAAATTGAAATTTTTGGCAGATTATAGTTTTCATTTATTTTCAATACAAGCAATGACATGTCGCTTTTTGCAATTTTTTCCATTTATTTCTGCACATACATCCCAGTACCCTATAATCACATACATCCTAGAAAATTTCCTTAACAAACTTCAAAAAGATTTATCAAAATCCGAATAATCGTTTAAAAGCAGCATACAGTGAGTGCTTGTAATTTAATATGAACTTTGTATAATAGCAATAAAGCTCAAATTGATTCTACGTTTTAGTTAGAAAACGTTTGTATGGAAAAAAGAAAACGACCGTTTTTAGAGTTTTTCCGGCAATTATTCGATTTTTCGACCTAAGAACCATCTTTGAACTTCAATGAGCATTTTAAAAAAAGAATTGGCCAAATTGGTCCAGGCGTTGTTGAGTTATGCGCTTACCACCACATTTTGCGATTTATTTTTATATATAAGATTGGCATGAATATTAAAATTAATTAATTACTTTGTAGTTGTTTTCAAGGTCAAGTTTATCCTATTTGGGTATTTTTTATGCAATTTGCAAACAATAGGACAATACGTAAAAAACAAGATTGCTAATATCATATTCGTATAAAATGTTATAAAACAACTTATCTTATATAAAAATTTCCTTGCAGCATCTAAAGTGTTCTAAAATAATGAACATATTTATGTAATATATGTAGACAAAACGAATTAAAATTAATGCAGAACATGAAAAAACTGTTTTGCACGACTTCACTTATAAATAGAATAGTATCTTTTGTATGATAGAGAAAACTCGTACAACATTTGATTCAATAATAAAGCATTCAATGTAAGTTCATAATTATCAATAATGTATAAATTACAAACAAAAAACTTTTAAACATCTAATAAAAATTCTGTCATCAGAAAAAATTAGTAATAATTAATTAATTACCTGATATTGAGATGGTGGTCTAATAAAACTCCTTTCACGCATAAATCCCGGATGAAACTCCGGCAGACGTCCGCTTCTTCTCAAGGCATTCAAATTATCGGCTTGAGCCATTTTTTGAATTTCGTTTTTTTTTCGATCAAATAATATAAATATAACACTAACACTCACTATATAAATTTACAATTCACAATAATAATTATTCTCGGCGCGCAGTAATATTTTTTATTCACTTATTTTAATAATAATTATAATTATAATTAGTATCTATATAGAATTAATATGAGGCACTTTGTTTAGATATAAAACTTACAAAAATATATTTCGACTAGCTACGATATCACAAGTTTTATCTTAGACTTTGTATAATTATTATATAAATATTTTATTTACATATCTTAAATTATGTATAATTATTAATTATTAATACGAACGTTAATCTTTTAAATATTTTTAATTACTAACACCATGATCATGGATTTTTATGTTCAAATCTTTATTAGATTTATTTCTGCAAACTTATGACGTCGCTGAAATGTAAACAGAAAAACGAATTAATATGACTAATATAAACAAGCAATAATTAAAATTTCACCAATACATTTTCAATAATAATGTTCCACACATAACTCAATAAAGATTAAAACCTGTTAGAATGTTAATGGAAGATAATTAATAAATTATTAAATTTACTGAATTTATTTCCAAGTAAAAGTTAATATTTTTTTTTAATTTTATCTTGCAAGCCATATTCTATCTTTAAAACGAGTTTAGGAAAAATATATCGTTTTCAAAATCTAATTATGCATGAGATAATTTGCTTTAAGATATAATTAATAGAATAAGAGAAAATAAATCTTGTTATGAAAGTATCTCAATCGTCGTGATTGATATTTTCCTGATCAGATGACTCGACACATTTCTATAATAAATTTATTATTTTTAATAAATGTTACCAAATAATAATGTATATCTTATTAATTGGCAGTTGATCTGCAAAATATAAATTCATTTTTAACAATCAAATTAAGTGGAACTGATGGCTGCTGCTTGAACTTCATAAAAAAATGAAGATGAAAAAATGAAAAAATAAAATGAATATGTTTATCACTGATAATATTAAAAACATTTAGAAGCAACACCCAACGCCCTTCACATATGATGTATTATCCTACTTCAAAATTAATATTTAATTAAATATTAGTTCTTTTAAACTGTAATAATTAGTATCTAATTAACACATTTAGCACATTTATACGATTAAATTCAATGATGCTCTGCGAGGACTTTGTATTATACTCTTTTATTAGTATATAAGTAAATTAAATAGTGTATTTATTGATGAACAATTTATTGTGACATAATTTTTGTTTTCTAAACATATATATAAAAAATAATAGAGAAAACAAAATCGCAAAGGTAGAATTGATGTACTGAAGAGAAAACATTCTTCTAATGATATGTTTCTTACTAAAAACCAAATCGAAATTCAGTTTCCAATTAAACATCAATATTCTTTAAAATCCTTTTTTAAGCAATAATAATAATTTGATTATGTTAATATGTTCTATAATAATCATAACAAGTTGTAAGTAGCATTTTGCCTTAAGGCAAGTCGCATGAACTTCTTGATACGTATACACTTTAACAAATAAATATTGAGATTGAGCTATTTAGGTAAAATGGGTAAAATATTAAAATATTATTTCGTTTTGACTAAAAAATAATCGATACGATTTCCAATTGATATATTTCCAACATACCTCTAAAATCTGGATATATATATTTTTTTTTATTGAATACAGCTTGTTTCAACAATCAGATTGTATAAATTAATTTGTTTAACGCATGTAAATTCATCACTTTCGGGTTTAGAAACGTCTTTTTTTAAGTGTGGTCGACACCTGTGATCAATAGCTTCCTACGAAACACGGAATATATATAGATATTCGGCATAGATTCTGAATTATTTTATAATTCAGCCGCTTATCGTAAGCCTATAATATTTTAGTATTTTATTTCAGACTACGAAAACTGTAGTTATACAAAGGCTCATCAAAATCATCACAAACATTTTTTTTCAACATTCAATTACAAAGAAACTAATCTGCCGATTTTTACCAAAAACTAATGAACGCAATACCCATCCAATCAATATCTTGCGAATAGTTTTCGAATTTTTAAAATCGATTTACGACTGTGGGCTAAAACCTGGACGAAAAATTTTACACTTTTCTGCAAATTACAAAGAAACGGCACGACTAGTCGCACAAAACTGACAAGCTAGTTCTTATCGAGTTCCATCGATTTACTTTTAAATTTCTGAAATCGGTCCAAATTTTTTTGAGAAAACTTCGACAAAAGATTCAAAATTGGCTTGCATACACACGCACATACTTTTTCCTAATTTGGCCTTATTTTAATCAGAATGACTTGAAAGGTCGAGAAAACATGAAATTGGATCGGATATTTTAGCGAAAACAAACTTCTAATTCGTGAAGTTTCAAGTCTATTGAAAAATAAGTGAATAAATTATATTTAATAATAAGGAAATAAGTTAATAAATTCCTAAAAGTATATCTTTATTTTTTTATACTAACAATATTACAAACATGAATTGTAGACTTTAGTCTTCACCACTCTTCAAGTATGGTATAAATTTACTCCCAAAATAATATCTTATTCAATATTTCTTCAAAATACTCTTCAAACAATAATAATAAATAACCAATTAACTAACAAGTGCTCTATCAATTATGAATTCATAAAACGTTTATATTCAATGACACTCTCGCGTGGGAGCATTCGCATCTGATGACGTTTGTTCGAACTTCGGCGCGGCATATGTAACTTGCTGCAAATACGTCGTTGGCACTCCGCGGCGTTTTCTTAATAATTTTTGCATACAAACAGTAAGCGTGCATATGTCGGAAGACATTCACAAACTAGTCGATCATGTGCGACCAGTGTCGGAATAGTAAAACATCTAAATTTTTAACTAGTTGTAAGTAGATTTTGCCTTGAGGCAAGTTGCATGAACTTTCCGATACGTGTAAATAATGAAACTAATCAATTGAGATTTGAGGAATTGAGATTTAGCTATTTGGATAAAATTTTAAACTGTTTATCTCAAAAATACATTTTCGTGTTCATTAAAATAAGAGTTCGAATTGATGTCTTTCAAACATACTTATAATATATTTAATGATATAGAATAAATTAAGCGTGAATGACAACTGTAATCAGTAGCTACCTATGAAATACCACAAAACGTAGATAAGCTTTGGCGTAGATTCTGATTAGAATTTTTATAATTCAACCGCTTATCGCAGGTATATAATATTTTAGTATGTTATTTCAGAAAATAAAATCTATTTAAAAAAAGTTTAATCAAAATCGTTTTTCAAACATTGTTCTCCAACCTTTAATTATGTACAAAAAAACGGCTCGGTTGATCTTTGCCAAAAACTAATCAACGTGATACCAATCAATATCTTTCGATCGGTTTTCGTATTATTAAAATGGAATAAAGTTCTGGGCTAAAACGTGGATTTTTCTGCTAATTACAAAGAAACGGCTCGGCCGATTTTCGCACAAAATTGATAGGCTTTTAGTTTTTTGAAACCGAACCAGCTGGTTTTGAGAAAACGTACTCTCGTACACCATTTCCAAATCATAAAATTAGCAAGTCCGTTTTTTTCGAGAATATTTGTGTATTCTTCTCCTTGAGGAACTTCCCATTAGTTAACATTTGAATTCAAAAGGCGTTCGAAATTGAAAAAAAGATGAAAAACACACCAATAAATAATTTGATATAGTCATTTACTACATGTCAATAAATACATCCTATTTTTGTAACTTGGTGGCTACCGAAGATGAGCTGATAGAAAGTATCTTTCGAAATTCAGTCCGAAAGCAAACTCCAGTCACAAAACTTTAGGTGTCGAACAGATGAATTTAAATTTAATTTCTTTGACACTATTGCTAATCCTAAGTAAAGTAGTTAATTATCCAAAAGAATTTTTAAATTTACTAGTTTTAATTTTATAAGCATATTGTATTACTGAAAAGTGATTCAAAATCAATAATCTAAAATACGCTTATTGTTAGAAATTATGTAATGGGACTAGATTAGTTAAAAAACTTATGAACAACATTATTGAAGCGATGATTTCAAGTGGGGAATTTCAAACTGATGTTCTTCTATCATGAATGCCAATAATTTTAGATTCATTTATACTATAAATAATTTATAGAATGTTTTTATGTTATGATGATTATTAATAAAAGAAAAAAAAACTAAATGTAGTATCAATACATTTGGTTTGTTTTTATAAGTCACATAGGCATACTATGACTAGTTCAAATTTGAAAAAAAGGTAAAAATCCTAAATAATTTTATCTGAATTTCATTAGTTAAATTCGTTTATTATAGTAGGTGTCCATTTTAAATTCGTGTTTCCATATATAAGTATATTATATAAATCGATAAGTTTAATGTAACAAGCGTTAAACTAGCTATATGAGGTTATTTTTGAATAAGGTCTCCAATTATTGTCATATTTATATGTATGTATAAATTAAAAAAAAATTAATAGAGACATCTAGATGCTTGACTAATAGCCGTTTTTATTGATTGATTGATTGTGGTCGATTAAAAAAAAATCTAGGAAAGAACATCAAGTTAAAAAGAACGATACGCCACTGAATAAAAATTTTTGCATAAAATATTATAAAAAATTGACTTGTTCGACAAATATGGACTGCAAAACTGTATAAAAATGCAAACGATGTAGCAGAACTGGATATTTATTATTGATACAGGTGTGAAAGTTGAAAACTCAAAAAAAATTAATTAATTATGAACGATGCAAAGAATTTAGTCAAGATTTGAAATTACGTTATTAACAAATAAGTTAAAATTTTAGTGATGAAATGACGTGATTTGATTAAATTACTTATATAATTAAAGACATAAATAACAAATGATATATTTATTAAAAAGACTAAATGAACTTTAAGTAGGAATTTGAGAAATAAATGTGAACCAATAACTGAAACTTTGATACTAAACGTCATTAACTTATTTTGGCATGTATTCAAAGTGAAGTGAAAATTATGCAATTATGATTTTGGCTTACGACATTTACGTGTAGGCACGTGAAAAGTAAATATTATAATAGTCAACGATTTTTTGAGTAAAATTGATAATTCTAGAAAATTACCGAATTATTTATATTCAGAATATTATATTGAAACTTAGCTATCTGAGATTTTGACTAGATCAACAATTATCAAGCATGAAAAGTAATCAAAGCAAAATAAGCATATAAAATGAATTTAAAAAATTTACTCTTCACAATACCATTCTTAAAAAAAAAACTAGTGATGCATGGCATCATGCGTTAAGAGAAATTGCTGGAAC